ACATTGGATATTGTGATGTTCAGCTTTTGACAGTACATGGTCGGACAAGGGACCAAAAGGGACCCAAAACAGGGCTTGCAAACTGGGATTACATTAAAGCAGTCAAGTAAGTGTTACTTACAGYTACATTCTTCTATTAATAGGATGTTTTGCATGATGGTGTCATTGACCTCTACTATCAGACTCCCTTGCACMCTTTTTTTCGTTCAGTTAATTAAAACTAATTATCTTACTATTCTCATTAGGGAATACAAATTTAAAGAAAAAAAGAAAATTTGCCAAGTATTATGGTAGTGACAGTCAAATGACGCAATCATGCAAACGTCCTTATTGGTGCTGCTCTAGATGGTTGCCACTTAATTTTGACTAGGGGTGGCATGGATCCAGGATTTTAAGTGGGTGGGTAAGGGGTTAATTTTACATAAATGTTAAACATTAAGAAACATTTTATTACAATTAGTCATTATACATGATAGGTAAGAATAACTTCAAGGGGGTCATACCTGGGGCATATATGGATTCAATTCTCGACAGAACTGTTGAGTTTGTTTTGTGTATTGTTCTCTCCCTTGACAAAAGTTTTTCTCTCCCTTGACACAAGAGTCTTTTTCTGGCCTGTCCAGTTTTCCTCTTAGGTTCTTGCAAATGTGCTGAATAAAGCTCTTTACTCAAACAATGAGATGTTTTTTAGTGGGTAGTAATTCTTAATGAGAAAGGGTATCTGGCTTATTTATTAGTTATTTATTGCTTTACACGGCGCCCTGTAACGCTGTAGCCAATGTTTATTTTTTCAATCATTTTGCATGTACACAGACAAAGTGTTTCCATCCCMGTTTTTGCCAATGGTAATATTCAGTACTTCAAAGATATCCAAGCATGTATGGAGTATACTGGAGTGGATGGTATTATGACAGCTGGTAAGTTTCTTTATTCTCAACCTTCACCTACCTTAAACATACAGCCTGCCTGCCCGCCTGCCCGCTCGCCCGCCCGCCCGCCTGCCTGCCTGCCTTTATTTCTTGTCCTTTTTCCAGATTTTGTTCGTCTCTTTTTCCTGGTTCAGTATTCAGTAACTTTTAATCTCGGTTATTCTTTCATCTTCAGAGGGTAACCTCCACAATCCTGCTCTACTTGGTGACAGGCAACCAATGGTGTGGGAGATGGCAGAAGAATATTTAGACCTTGTTGATAAGTAYCCCTGTCAACTGTCAGCTGTAAGAGGTCATCTCTTCAAGCTCCATTTCCATAGGTCAGTATAGATAGTATCATGGAAAATATAGCGAATAAGAATGTGAGAAAGCTATAATTTGTATATATTTTTGGTGGCATTCAAACTTCCAACAGCTTTTGAACTGTTAAACGGCCAGCAAAATTACTTAATTCTAGGGTATTCTATGCCACTTTAATAAAAGTATTGTATAGCTAATATCCACTGTATTCAGGGCTCAAAATAGCGGCCTGGTAATGCCAAATGACAGGCCAAATTTCAGGTTTGGCTGGCAAAAGTAACGATGCACTGCCAGATGAATAATAAAATGACATGCAAAATTTACTGGAATGACCTCTTTTTACCATGCTCCTTTACTTTGGCAGGCTGAAAAAAATTTCTATTTCAAGCCCCGGTATTCTGTTCTTTCTATTTACATCTGCACTAATTGTCTCATATTTTAAAGCCTTTGTAAACATACTGACTTGCGAGAAGTGCTTGGAGATTGCAAATCACTTGAAGAGGTGAAAAAAGTTAATCAAGAACTTACCSAAAGGCTCAAGGTAATGTTGAATGAGATTGCAGTTCCAATACCATACAAAACAATACATATATAGAGGTTATTACCCTGCTAGTTGTTACATTGGCCTCTCTCCCAATCAAACTATAGCATATTTTGTTTTCATTGATATAGAAAGATGCCAAGGAAAACACTGATAAACCAGTATCATACACAGGATTACCACACTGGGTGTGCCAGCCTTATGAAAGACCAAGGTAAAGTTGCAGAAGTGTGGCATTATTTAAAAATCAACCACACCCTAAATCCATTGTTTGATGTAGGTTCTTAAATTCTTCGGAAAACCCAGATTCTTAAAGCCGGGGGTGGAATTGATATCAACAGGGGAGAACAGGGCTGAATTATTAACCTGCGATAGGTTTTTTATTACACGGATATATTGTAAGCACTCTATTTCCAAAAGAACAAAGCTACAGTAATCTYGCTGAATTCTCGCTGAATTCGATATAATTTAGTATTTCGTGTTTTGCATTGAAACAATGGAATTTAGGGCTTAGTTGATATTTTAAACCAGTTCAAACACACGGCCTGCGGCCCTCGGTCTTGAATTCCAAKGCAAAACCTTGCCCTAGCGTTTGAACCYTTWTATACATATTATGRCCCTGTCTTTACACCATGGAAACACATGGTCCCCAAAGCTCGGTTTTCATGTCAGTATATTACCTTAATTGTATATGACACATTCTTTCTATTCTAGCATAGGGAAAATTTTTTTATATGTACATCAATTGATTTTGTATTAAAAACCAAACTAGGGCTCCCTGAGCTTAAAATATAACGTAGGAATCTTTTGAAAAGACATGTTTTTTAAAAATATGTTTCTTGTATTGTTTTTTCGCTTCAGCCCCAAAGATAACTCATCTACAGCAAACCAAGCAAAAGAGAAAGACTCATGTAAAGGGGAAAGCGAAAACAAAGTTTTGGCTGAAAAAAAACTTAAAAAAGCTCTGAAAAGAAAGAAATTGCTGCTGTACAAGAGTAGTAAAGGTACATACTTTCTTTTTTTAGGTCTCAGGAGTATAGTCTGGTTCACAAGAGCAAACATTGTATTTTCTTCTGCTKGCGTTTGCATTTGCACTACTGCATATGAGTAGCTTAATTCAGTTACTGGCATTTGCCTTTCATGTGTGAACATTGTTTTGCACTGCTSGTTTGAACCAGGCTTAATATTTTCAGTGCTCCCAGAAAACATTTCTTGAAATAGGTGATAATTGGATCTCCAATTTTTCTCCCTAGTTTATCAACAACAACGACAAGCAAACAAACAAATAACAAAACAACAACAACAACAAAAAACAACAACAAACAACAGCAACAAAAAACAAAAAGCAACAAACAAACAAAACAGACAAACAAAACAATAACAAAACAAAAAACAACAACAACAACAAACAAACAAAAACAAAAACAAAAACAAACAAACCAAAGAACAAATAAAAGCAAACAAAAAAATGGAAAAGAAAACAACAACAACAACAATAAACAAAACAAAAACAGGCCGTATCCTCAGTCATACAACTGATTTTTTYCCTTCATTAACTTTTTTCTATGCAGTTCCAGTTGAATGGGTATTTTGTTCTCTATGCAAGACCAACCCTATGGTAAGAGTATAATCAGGGAGCCCACTTTAGATAAAAGAAAGAAAATACCTTGCAAATGCTTTCAAAGTATTTCTGTAACGCGAGCAATCAGAGGACCATACTGGGGAATTATATAAGAAAATTCCCATGTATTACGGAGGGCACAATCTTTAGATTAAAATACATAAGTTCCGTTTTTTTCTAATGATTTGATTTCCGTCCAACACTTACAAAATGGGTTGTATTGTTCTGATTACCTTTAAAAGGTAATGTTCTATGTTTTCTGCGATGACCAAAAGGTTTGCAGGCTAATTACCGCTGTAATCCATGACTACAGACTCATTTGCACCGGTTTAGTCTCGTTTAAAAGCAAGATGTGCGTGCAACTTAAACAATAGACCCCTTGCATGTAACATTAAAGCAGCTCAATTTGTAGGACAAAACAAAATAAATTCCAATCTCCTGAGAATTGGAAACCTATTGTTATTTCCTCCAAATTGAGCGGCATTCTGACGTACTGCAAGCGATCTATGGAGCTTTTTTATTCAGTATTCTGATTCACTGCCGACCGCTAAAATGAAACGAAAACTGTTCTCTATGATTTAACTTCCATCTAAAACAATTAGGAGAACAAACGCTGTCATGAAGAAAGAGAGAGAGAGAGAGAGAGAAAAAAAAAAACGAAGAAAAATCTTCATACAATTGATTTTCGTTTTCAGTAGACCCGGAAGTCTTTTTCCGGCGATTTGCGTCAAGCATTTTTACAGAAAGACTAAACCTTTAGAAATAGTTAGGCAAGGGACTGACAAAGAAGACTATTTGATGAACAGGAGATTTCATTAAGAATTTCATCTTTTTTTTCCAGAGTAAAAAGTGCGAATATCAATACTGCCGACACTGCTGTAAAGAAAAAACTGCGTTAGAAAAACTYGATTGTCCTTGTAAGTTCGCCATTATTTTTAAATTAAAATATCCTCTTTCGTAATACATCTTTACCTTGGGGTAGTGTTTTCCCACTTCATTCCACGTGTCATTCCCTAGATTACCATTTCTTTGTTTAATGGTTGTGTATGAGAATAGATACATGAATATTGATACAACTCAAACAAAGAAATTGTATCCTCAAGGAATCCTACGGTATGAATGGGAAAACATTACGTCCGAGGTAAAGACAGGGTTCGTGCAGGTCCTTGAACTCCTTAAAAGTGCTGGAATTTAAAATGTATTTTCAAGGGCACTTGAAACTCCTTGAAAATTGAAAAAAAGTAGAAATGTCGTTGAATACTCCATGAAAAAAATTGTCCATGAAAAAATATCAGTAAAACTTCCAAGATATGTAAACCATGAGTCGTTGTCATTGGTTAAAATTAGAGATTTTCACTACGTCTCGGGAGAAGCGTCTTTTTTTATAATTTTTTGSTTTCCAGAACTTATATTAGTAGCCCAATGTGGCGTGGATATCACGTGACAAATTCGCACATCTCGATTAGCATTGGCATTTTCATCGTATTTTTTTAATACCAAAATAAAACCCTCTTAAGAGTTCCTCCTTGAAAAATGTCATTTTGGTCCTTGAATACTCCTTGAAAACTCCTTGAATAATTTCTTGGGAACCTAGCACGAACCCTGTAAAGAGATCTATTTAGTCCTTGAGCCCGACTGGGCTATTGGCTCATAGGCCC